TGAGAAGTTTCATCGCAGACCCTGAATAAGGATGAGGCAAGTGAGGGATTTGCTTTAGACGAACGCTAAGATGGACGCCAAATTAACGACTAAATTTTAAAAATACATTCAAAAACTAAATTATGATTATTAACTTGATTATTAACTATGATTATTAACGATTTTGAAACCCATCAGAAACCCCCGTTTCGAAGTTGCACATTTAAAGTAATTATTCTTCAGTATTTGCGCATCACGAGCGTTTCCTTAATTTATTAATAAACCAGATCAGCAAAATAATGAACTATTATTATCAAATGTTTAAAGTGAGACAGAAAATCCTTATCATGCATTTTATATAATTTTCAGCTCATTATTTTTACTATATGCAAAGCTCAAATTTTTATAAGGCATGACATAATGGGTTTAAACTAATAACCTCTTTGAGAAAAATCAGTGTAACATTTTACATTTGTCTTCATAAAAATTTAATACTCTATGAAAACAGAAAGGAAATAAACAAATATTCCTTCAAATATTATAATTTATTATAGTATGAATTTTCTGAATATATAAAGTTACGAGTAAAAAATATTATAAGAGTTATAGTATGATTTTGTATAGTTACCTTTGTTGAATATAGATGTATATAGATACAGTTAATTTGATTGTAATATAGAAGCTCACATTTACCTCTTTGCCTCAGGAAAAAAAGCTGCTCCATGGTATTAAAAGTTTCTTTCAATTCGTGTTTATTAAAAAGTTTGATTTATTTTTTTTACGGTAACTCAGACGAAATAGAACTAGATAGCAAGAGTTTTATCTGGATTGGATTATTTAGTTTTGGCAAAGCACACGAGGGCTATCTGCCTAAAGGGAGGGATGCCTTCGCGGAGGACTTTCTAAGGGAACTGGCCCGTACACACGTTACACATGGGGAAAACCACGAAAACGCCCATGCAGCCAGCCCGTTCGCGGGATTCGGACCTCGGACAGAACTGCCAGTGTTCAGCATCTTTACCGCTCGGCCGCTGGTGAACCCAAGAGGTTTGTCATTTACATTTGATATGCATTTGTCGTATTGAATCTGATTTACTCATTATCTCTAATATGCATTAATAGTAACTGAGTAACCGAAAAATCAAATGAATGAACTCAGCGCCCTTTATGTAATAAAAAGAAGAATAACAAAATGCTTCATGTATTTGTGTAGCATAATATAACTTTTAAACTTTCTTTTATGCCTTGTAAAAATTCTTTTGAATTTTTCAAGTATTTTGTAGGATGTATTTTTTCTTTTTCACAAAATTATCCTGCTAAATCAGCATCAGATATCAGTACTACAATGCAGGACAACTACTATCGTATTGGACTATTTACTTTAGTTAAAGTGCATAAATGTTATCTCCCTAAGATTTATCGCAATGCTAAGCGAAAGCTCTAAGTATGCAATGAGGGCAAACAAAATATTCTACCCTAATTCACAGGTCTTAAAAAATCTTCAGATAGTACTTATAGATTTTGCTATTAAAATGTTATAGTCAGACGTGTACATGCTTTACTCAGATTGTTAACCGAATCCAATATCGAAAGCAGCAATATCGCAGTTTCCGTTAACTATAGTAAATACATAAGTTTTCAAATTGGGGAACAGTAACTGTAATGCTTGATAATTTTAACTGCTATGTGAAATTAGTAATAGCAGTTATGCACCCGTTAAATAGAGATAAATTTGTGCATGTATTGTACCGTATCTCATGTTAGTTAATCATGTATTAGAATTTCGGTCTTTACTATAACGTCTCCTATCCACATTCTTCACCAGAATGCAAATTAGTTGTGAGTATTTAAGTTGCGGTTTTTGGATTTCAGATAGAGTGAGTTTCTGGATTTCAGAGGGAGTGTGGCGTAACCGCTACGTGGTTAATTGCTGCAAGCTGTAATAGTTATAACTGTTCGGCCTTGCGGTCCTTTCGCCCCCATTTTGCGCCGCTTTTATTGAGCCAGCTCCTAGTTAGTATTTAATTGTGCTGTCTTTGACCACTGTTCAGCATTTAGTTTAAATTTAACTCTTCTATTGATTTGCATCACCACGAGTTGTTGGTATTGCAGCACAAGAGCGTACTCTTATATTCCAAGTTCTGTTTATGTAACTAGTTATTATAGTTTTCTTAAGACTTTGTCATTTATCTCAGACACAGCGATTACTAGCTTCATGTGTGTTAGGGTTACGGGACTAAAATACAGTTACCAGATCAAGTATAATCCTACAGACGTTTCCATAGAACATGTTTAAGTAAATAAAATTATTGTTATCGAGTAACGTATATGTTAGGAACATAAATGTGGCAGAAGAGTGAGTGGCATAAGTGATAGGAGGTAGCACTTTCTTGTTGTTCCCGATCACTAACTACAGACTCATTGTCCATCTGCTTGTCTGATCACTATATTGAATGATACTTATTTCTGTATTCAAATTTCCCATTTTGTCTCCCTGTTACACTAATCTGGACGCAATGCGTTCGATAACCTGTAAATTATCTGTATATAATTATCTGACCGATTTTCTGCAACACCAACGCAATATTCCCAGCGTTAGTTTAGATTTTACAGATTGTAAAAAAGAAAATAAGTAAATTAAAAAAAATAAAAGGTAAAAAAGTAAAAAATAAAAATAAAACCGTACCATGCAGTAATTATATTTATAACTAAAAGCAGCTGTCACTTGATAAATCGGGTTGGAACCCTATTGGTCACGGATGTTTGTTCTTGTCTCATCCATTCCAAATAAGGCATGTAAAATCCATCACCCTGTAAAATCCATCACCCGTCTGAAATGCTAGTAAAGGAAGAATAATATGATATCACAGTATTCCTCTGGCTGTCCCGATGTGAATTTAGATAGTACTGGACAAGCGTTTAATTGTAATTATTGTTATCAAAGGTTGTTTGACCAATGGCATTTTGCATCCATTCTCTCATCCATCATTCTTCATATGTCTTAATGGATTCAGGAAGTATAATATTTTAACACTCAAGTTCTCTTCATATAATCATGATTACAGTCATGGTTAATCGCTGTGCTTAAGAATTTGAGCGCTTACCTTGGAATATGTATGTGCCTTTTGGATTATGGCCCGGTAAATCGTTTTACACAAGCTTTTCAATAATTTCAAATTTAGAAATGATCGTTTCACGCAAAGAATTTATTCTTATATGTTATATTATTTAGTTTGACTACCCAGAAATTTGTAGCGAAGCATTTAATAATTTATTCACAAATTTGCCACCCTGATCGGCATAGTGGTTTGAGTTGCTGGCTGCTCGGCTGCTGTTAGACCCGGTTCAAATGCCGGATGAAGCTTGGATATTTATAAGCGAATAGTAGCTTTGAGGTGTGAAGCATTTAAAATGCTTAGCTAGTCGAAAGTCCCCTGATGTGGTTTGGTAGCAGGAGAAGTAGAGTCTAGTGATAGGAGAGGAGGGATAGGAGATCGTTGGGTCCGCTTCCTCTGCGTTATCTTCTTCAGTATATGTACGGAGCTAGGCAAAATCATACTGTCAAAGTACTAAAGACTCAAGCGAATCAGAGGTGCAATCCTATGCTCCTTGTCAAGGTAAAATTCGTAGACTTATTCTGATGTTACTAACAGAGAGTCAAGATAAGTCCGAACAACCGTTTTCAAATGAAATCATAAGTTTTAACAAAACGAAGGAAAAAAAATATAACCATATCAAATGGGAAGTTTTTCCACATTATTAATCCTCGTGCGGTGCAACGAGTTTTTTAAACAATTTGTAACAATCATCTTTCCAATAGAACATGATGAAGAAGTGTGCAGGTCCCCAAAATTTTCCCATTTGCTGAAAGATATAATCTGGAAGACATAAGTGCGCATCTCCGTTACAGTTTTCATGGAGAAAACCCCGTGACACTGATCCAAGGGTCTCCAATCACTACTCTCCTGCCACTAACTACTCGAGAGGACTTCCGGCTTGGTTGTGCAGTTTGAGTGCTACCTTGCCATACAGATATTGTGGACTTACGGATATCCATGCCTTCTTTGGGATTCGAACCCGAGCGCAACGGTACAGCAGCCAGGAGCACTAACCTCTGTACCGATCAAATTGATTATACCAGTCACCAATAAATCCCTCGTCTTTCTCATATCTAGGCCAAATGCTGAAAATGATTGGTTAAATGAAGTATGTAATGAAAGAAATAAAGAAATGTATGGTTAGGAGATTAAGTTATTTGAATAAAGGAAGGCAAGGAGCTATCTTCCTGAGTGGAAGGATCTTTTCGTGGAGAACTTCCTTAAGGAAACTAACTGGTATTCATGTTATGTAAGGAGAAACTAAGGAAACCAACCAGGAGCCAACCATTCGTCTGGGATGAAGCAGGTCTAACTACCAGTATTCAGCTGTCTTAACCACTCTGCCCCTGGTGGCACGAAGAAGACGTATGAAAAGTAGAACAAGCGAACACAGGAATAATTACTTAAGCAATAACTAAGGAATCAGTAGGTAAACTATTATTATTCTGTTCGATAATACTTGATAGTTTACTTCCTATTAAGGATTTATTCTGTCATCTAAGGAAAGAACAATGCGGAAGATCTCGAAGAATTTTACTTACCATAAATATATATTAATTTCTACAGTTTTTTGAGTAACTATTCTTCAATAAATATCCAAAACAGTTTTAAAAATTTCGAAGACTGTTTTTTATATAAGCAATATATCAAACATATTTTCTATTCATTATACACTATTAGTTTTGATTCGTCTAGAATTAAGCAAACACACAAGTAAAATGAAAACAGATTTCTTACTTTTTATATAGAGAGGATTTATTCTGTCTTCTAAGAGCAATTTTAAAATTCCTTAAGCATATCTAAATTGTACTTCGCTTTCTCTCTCTGCCAAAAGATGGCGCTTTGAACCAACAATATTTCAACAGGCTGGGGATCTCCGCAGTTCGGGCCACAGTTAGTTACCTCTTGTCAACCGTCCCGAACGGTGTGACAGTGTTATCGCCGCTGGCCACATCATCCGCAAAATATCTCTTGCACCTATCAGAATGTCTTAGTAAAATATTCTCGAAGAAAGCTGTTTGAAGGGGTGAAAAAAGTTCTTTTTCGTAGTAGTAGATAAATCCTCAGCTCAGGAACTTGGTAAGGCATTATCATTTCTCTTTTTTTTTTGTTTTTGTCAAAGTATTTAAAGAAAGTTCTGAGCGCTTTCAACGTAAAAAAATGCTGTTATAATTCATATTTTTAAATAATAATTCTAACTTATTATAAAATTGAAGATTTCTTCTTTATGTAATTTTTTGAAGTCATTTCTAAATTTTTATCTAATATATGGTTTATTCTGAGGAAAAAACGGAACATTTTCAGCTCTACCTATTTTAGATATTTTATAGATATATCCATTTTGTTGTATTTAATTTATATACTGTTTTCTTGTTTTTTCTTTCCTTTTATGAAAGTAAAAGGTATCTTTTTTTCACGCATAGTGGTATAAACGTAAAAAAAGAAAAAAATATGATGTTGTAAGAATTACGCCCGCTTTTTGTTTTACATTTTTAAGCAAATTTATAGAAATTAAAATAATTGATTCTATTATTTATTTATATGTAACATATTTTAAATTGTATACTAAATGAAGGAAAATAAAGTACCTTCGAAGATTACTGTGTAAGATAAGTACAACAAACTGAATTTAAATTAAGCAAACCCGAAATTATAATATTTTTATTTATTTTAAATAAGAGCTATAAATTTTCGGTACAATATTCAAGGAATTATATCATAATATTATTTATGAAAGGGTTTCGCTTAGAATTTAAGATCAGAAATAAAATTATTCGCTAATAAAGATTTCTCCAGCTTTGAGAAAGCATAGTGTCTCACTAAAATCGTTCTTAATCAAAAACAGCGAAAGGTGAAAAAGAAATTATCTTTATTTCACTGGAAAATGTTTGGAATCTGCAAAGAAACCTATTAAAACATGAAAACTCTTCTAAAACTTAAACCTGTATTTAAAAAAGGAGCGATGAGATAACTATACATTCCGTATTTTAAGAGAAATCGCAAACGTACAATGCAGTTTCGGCTTTCAAACTTCAATTATAATGAACACTGAAAAATATAAATTTGCTAGAAATAATTATGGTGCGTTAAGGTGAAACATCGGAGATTTGATAATGGTAAACTGAGAAAAAGAAGATAAAAATCATCTATTTATATTTCATGATCATCTGAATTGACTACGTTTCGGCGTAAACGGCTTCTAAAGTCTGCTTTCAATGATATGAAGTGTCGAGGTATCTCCTACGCTGTGGCTGATGTGAAAAGACTAAAGTAGGACAATTTGAAGATGAAATTTAAGTTGCTTGAATTGTAAGACCAGCGTATTTTAATCCACCGTTCAATGTTTTACAAACAAGCAAAATTTACTAAAAAATTGCATTGAACTTCTATGTTGTTTTGTACGAAAGTCTTACTTTTCTGTACTTCGCGCAGAAAACAAACCCTGAATGATATTTTCGTTCTGCGCTTATTTATTTTTATAAAAGTAATTTTTTTTAAATTTCTTTCATTAAAAAAAGGTGATTATTCATATCCCTCAGGAAAGCGAAATAGTATAAGCAAACGTTCGTAAAGTGGAGAATATTGTAATAGTATTTACAATGGGAAATTATTCTCTAAAATAATTTTAACGAATATTTTCTTCCTTACTGCGCTCTGTCATGATATAACTGGTAGCATACCGTGGTATTATTGGAAAATCCTGAGTTCAAATCTTGACTAGGGTATAACTGATAAAGTGCAGCGGACCATAACCCAGCACCGTCTGCGTTTGGATGACAGGATGTTTTCCAGTCGTCCTTTAAGCAGGACAGAATATAAGATATTTTTGCCTTCTCCGCAGATTGCTCTCAAACTGGTAAGCTGCCTGTAGCTGGTAGTTGGTTGTAATTGGTAGCTGGCCGTAAATGAGAAGATCCAGATTTCGAATTTTCGCGAGGCCATGCATGAGTTTTCATGTTTCCTGCTCAAAATAAATGTGTAATAGCCTTATAGAGAAATTCTGCTGATTTGGATACAATTTTTGAGAGATGTGATACAAATTCGTCTAAAAAGCGTAGGATAAATAAAATGCATAGACGCTGGACAAAAATTGCTTAAATTATGCATACTATTAAATCCTAAAGAGTATTTTACAAACACACTTTTATCAAACTATTGTAGTTGCGTCTGAAACATGCATCACTTGACTCTCGTTACTTTGAGATAAATGTCCATATTAATATATTGCGAGATTACGCTATTCTATAAGATATGGCACATTGCTTTCCTCAAATTACACAATTATTTTACAGTAATTTAGTACATTCATTTTAAAAATAAATTACAATAATGCAAATGCCAGGATTGTGTAGGAGAATAAAATTTGAGCGATAAGTTGTTGAAAAAATAATCATGTCTTTGCTTGTAGTACCAGCTCCAAGTGTTGACCGCTACACCGCAAGAGCACGTGAAATGAATGAATTGAATTTCCTTACTCATTATTTCTATTCATCTAAAGATTATGTTAGATTATGGCAAAACACTCGAGTGCTGTATTCCAGGTGGAGGGTTGACTTCATGGAGAACGTTCTAAATTAAATTGGCTGATATTTAAGTTACAGAAAAGGACAAATACGGAAACTTCCAATGCTACTAGCCTGTTTCTCGGATTTTGTATACGAGTCAAAATACAGGTATTCAACGATTTTACCATTTGTCCGCTGGTGGAAACCCTAAGCATTTAAAAATAATACTAAAATGACAGTTCTAATCTGGTGGTTACTTAGTTCAGCTCGGGTGTTAGATATGATGGAGTTAGAGGAGTTTAGGAAAATAAATAAATGTAAAATTGACCTTACCCTTATCCGAACTCTGTACAGCATATAGCTGTAAAATTTTATGCAAATTTTAAAGCATTTATAGAACTTATAGAAACTAAGGATATATACTAAAATTACAGGACAAGATAATAAATAAGGAATACCATTCCAAATGTCATACGAAGTATAACCAAAATACAAAACATTTTGTTACAGGAAAAGAGCTAAGAAAAAAATGAGGAAAGTTATTTTATTTCATTATCTTAAATTTTGTTGTGAGATCACTGGTAGAAAATTTCTCTTATAATTAAAATAAACCAGCTATTATAAAGGTAACTAGTAATTTCAAATTCTAAAATATAACAAAGTCAGCTTTTTGTACTTGTCAGAAGATATTTCATAATGTTTCAATTACTGAAAATAGGTTTTCTGAGAATTGTTATCGGAGAACCAAATTATAATTTTCCTATCCATGGTGGAAAACTGTTTTTAAAAGTAATTTTTCAAAAATTAATAAATTACAGATATTTGGGAAATTGTTATAAATAAGCAGTACTATTTAAATAACTGCGTTAGAAATACGACATTAGTAATAAATTAGAGCAAAATTGTATTTCTTGTAGACGGCATTTCTTTCCATTCTTGAAATGGCATCCATTAACACTTAACATTATTAAAGTTTTCTGAAACTGACGTTTCGGATAAATAATTTTTTAAAGCATATTGAAACGGAGCAAACCAATTAAAATTCTAACTATGGCCAAATATAATTGCTGTTAAATTGTAAATTCTGTGTTTTCGAGAAGAACAAACGCGGAGTCGCTTTTCTTAGGGAAGCAAAACCATTATGCGTTTAATTACATGTTTAAGAAATAAGTAGAAATTACCTGTGTTATTTATAATATTGTTACGTTATTTTCTTCTTTCACGTTCGTATGGGGTTCGTAGATCTGGAGTGAACACTTGATGACAATTGATGACGCATCAAAACACACTTTATTTACCAATATTTAATCAGATACCTCCAAAATCACTTTTACACCCGTCGAACTATTATGAACACGCTGACACCATCGGTGACACAGCCTTTACACTGTCAGGCAACAACGGTGGAGACAGTTTCACTGCAAAGCACCCGAGTACAGCTCCCAACTCTGCTTGGTTATTCTCGGAACTCCACGTACTCTCGAGACTCTCCACGCGATGCACTCGACGATACACAAGAGTTTAGCTCTCGACTCATGCACTAATTCGCAATGCACTAAAAGACTCTCTCGATGCACTCGACGACCACCTCTGCGCTAGACTTCGAGACACTCGCTCAGTGACTATCAGCTGGCTAGACGAGGCACACACTCTGACTGACTGTGGACCAGCAGGGTTTATATATCTTTCGGCTTCTGTTCGAGAACATTCTGGGCTAAACCGGTAAGAATTCGTTCCAGAAGGTTCTCCATCCGTCCATGGCATATCGCCAGTTTTGTTGCCAAATGGGCGATTTCTCTCCAAATGTGGCAACCTTGCCTTCCCTTGCCATTTTAAGGCAACCCTAAAACTGCTTTGCGGGGAAGCTATCTTACCGCGCCTTTACATTTCGTAACACTATCTTAGGAAAAATATCTTTCATTAAAGTTTCGTGATAGTTTACGTGCCTGTAACTATGTAATCATAACAAGTTACTAATAAGTTTGTTCTGGGCTCAGATCCTTATAGAAAGCTGAATCCACGGCAGTCTTTGGGTGTTCTACATATGCAACATGAATATAAGGCAAACTTTTGAAAGTCCTTCCAGAAGGCATTCTTTCCTTTGGACGATTAACCTTCCTGTCCTTTGTCACAATATCGAAAATCGAATCCGTATAAGATAAATGTTTCAAGTTTTACTATCCTCCAATGAAGTCAGCAGCGCTGTGTATAACTTCCTATCAGTTGTAGAGTCATTAGGTTATTTTCAAGGAAGGAACATGAAAAATGAGCTGTGCCTTCCTCGGGACTCGAACCTGAACCTCTCAAATAGTTGTCGGGTGTCCTGCCGATACGCCAGTTAGGAATGTTGGAAGGAGGAAGAAAGAACTTTATATACTTCCCCTTTTTAAAGGGCGACTGGGGATTAAGGGACCCAATCGCAAAATCCTGTTGGTGACGAATTATTGCCCACCACCTTTTAGTTTGGGCATTACTGTAGATTCATTAGGTTACTTTGAAGTAGAAAACATGAAAAACGAGTAATGTCCTCACTAGGACTCGAACCTGGACATCTCGAATACGTGCCGAGTATTC